GTGGGTAACTGAGCGCCTATAGGTAACTGAGCACCCATGGGTAACAGGGCATCCACGGGTAATGGGGCGCCTGTGGGTAACGGAGCACCTGCAGGTAACACAGCACCCATGGGTAACGGGGTGCCCGTGAGTAACTGAGCACCGGTGGGTAATTGAGCACCCATGGGTGACTGAGCACCTACGGGTAACTTAGCACCTATAGAAACCACAGGTAATGGGGCACCCATAGGTGACTGAGCACCTATGGGTAACTGAGTGCCTGTGGGTCACACAGCACCCATGGGTAACACAGCACCCATGGGTAACGGGGCACCCGTGGGTAACGGGGCACCCATGGGTAACGGGGTGCCCGTGGGCACAGGGTGCCTGCAACGCCCCTACGAGTCCATGAAACCAGCCCTGCTGCTGCCACTGGGTCCCTCCGCGGCGTCACCCACGGGGTGACTGTGCCCTGTTTTGCTCAGGGTGGCGGCAAGTGCCAAGTCTCCCGATCCCTGATCTCGGGGAAGGGGCCGTGGCTGGTTGAGGGTCACCGGGGGCCGCTCGGAGCGGTGCAAACCCCACGGCAAAGCCAGGCAAAGAGCGGACGCGTCGGGGATTCGCTCCCCGGGCTCTGCTCCTTCCCTTCCCCTCGGCTCTTGGTCGCCCATCGCGCTCCTGTCCAAGCCCCTGTTTCACTGTGTCCCAAGGCGCGGGCGGATCGTGTGGATGGAAGCGTTTCGGGTGCCTTTCCAGCCTGGTGCGGATCGTACCCACCCGCGTGCTGCAAACTGCTCCCCGAGATGCACGGGCGGCTGCGGGACGATTTCTCTCTCCGGTGTTGTAACCCTCTCCCAGCAATGCAAAATGCACTTGTTTGCCACCAACAAGTGGCCCAGGCACAAGACAGGGCCGTGCTTGGTGGTGCCACCTGCTCTGGGGGACACTCGGCCCTCAGGGTGTCTTCAGCTGGTGACGACCCTCGTCCTTGGCTGCACAAAGGCCGGGCAGGAATGGGGAGGGATGAGGACAAGGGGAAGGTGAAAGTGGATCCTGACAATGGAGAGAGGAGAAGCCGAGACCTGGGGGAGGAGCGAGTTCAGCTTCATTTCCAGGAAGGAAACGTGAGAAAATACCCGGGGGGTTGTCAGCTCCTGGAAGGCAACGAGGAGCCATAGGACACCTTGAGACCGCGTCAATCTGTGTGTCTGTACAACAGGTAACAACCCAGGGCAGGGAGAACCAGGAAAACCGCGTGTCCGGAGTCCGGCGACGCTGCTGACGCTGCCTCGTGTCTCATCCTCATGCGGAAGCTGGGGAAATGCGAGTCAGATGGGAATGCTGCTGGAAACGGGAAGAGATCCTGGAGGAACCCGTCTGGGGGCAACGCGCTCCGTGCGGAGCGGGAGGGACGGGCTGGAACGGGTGTCCCTGGCGGAGCCCTAATGAAAACAGCGCCGTGACGGCGGCGAGCGGAGCGGGACGATCCGGGCCGGTCATGCCGGGCGCGCTGCCCCGCGCGGTGCTGGCAGCA